CCCTCCTCCCTCCCTTCTTCTTCCCTCCTCCCTCTTCCCGCCCGCCCGTGTGGTGCCCAGCACCGGTAGCGCCGGGCCGTCGGGTGAGTGACCTTCGCGGGGAGGACGGGATGGGACGGGAGGGGAAGTGGGGGGTCGCCCGCCCGCCAGTCAGTCAGTCAGCCAGCCCGGGGAGCGGCGGTTGGTCTCCGTGCGGCCCCCGGCTGAGGGCGAGGAGGAGCCGTGCCCCCCCGGGGCCCCCCCCCCCCCCTCGTCCCGGGCTGTTCCCAGCCCCGGTGGACGCTGCGGGCACGTCCCTACCGCTGGCTGAAGGTGGCCTCCCCCCCCTCCCCGCGGCGCCCCACCCACCGCTGTGCTGGTGCGGGGGGGACGGGACACGGCCTCGATGTCTGGAGGGCCGCTGGAGGCTGAGGGGACGCGGGTGTCCCTGTCCCCGCCGCGCCTGGGGGCGTTAACGGGCCGTTGGGCGCCTCCCTCCGGGGAGCACCCGGGTCCCGCTCGGGCCGAGGGTTCGGCGGCCTGAGGCGGGGGAGTTGTTCCGCCGAGGCGCCGGTGTGATGGCGGGAGCCGCCTGCAACCCCGGGTCGGCTGGGCACCGTCTCTTGAGCCCTGCGCTTTGGACCAGTAAATGTTGGGGTTCCCATCCGCTGATAACCGAATACAGAGGAAAGGCAGGTAGGCAGCGGCAGGGCGGTGTAACGCTTCTGGCTTAGGCCCCTTTGTTTATCTGCAGGCTCCTCTCTGTGTGTGGGTGAAGTTGTCGTGGGGCTTGTTTCTGACTTGTCGCCGTGACTTCTGTGTGATTTTTATTTCTATTTTTTTTTATAAGCCGTCTTTCTTCTGTTGGAGGGAAAAGGAAAAAAAAAGCGTGACCTGACATGAATTGGAAGAGAGATTTTTATTAAAAAAATAATAGGGCAGGGAAGTTAAGGACTCGGCCTTCAAAAATAGGTACATGTTCTTGGCTTTTTCAGGCTGGGAGCTGTTTCATATTCATGTATCGAAGCAGTAGTCTGGGCCTTTAATAACTTCTTTATGTACTTTCCAGTTGTGTTTTTCTTGTAACTGAAGCTGCGTGCACTGGATAAAAAGGAATAGCTGGCCTCTTTTGTGTGTTGGATTTTGGATGAATTTTTGTGTCTGTTTCTGTGAAATAAGTGTACACACCAAAAATTTATAGTTATTGCGCAGTATGAGGGTTCTGGAAGTAAAGAAAAACACTCTTCCTAGAGCAAGAGCCTAGTTATAATTTATCTCTAGCTTTGTTTGTCATCTTCCCTCGAAAATATTCTTTTAAAATGTAGGGGTTTTTTTTTTAGTGGATCACTTCTTAATGTGCCTTTGTGTCTGTTACAGTTTCTATTCATAACTTACAATTATGTAAAGCTTACCGTGTTAGCAATATACACATTGAATATTCATAACACGGGTACTGTTTCTCAGGCTACACAACTATGCAGCATCTTCATCAGGTCACTGCTTCTAGCTGACCTGTCTTACAAAGGAATCATGATGCGACATGTGTGGTATCAGGTGGTGGAAATCCAGTCGCTTTCCGAAACAAGCTCTGCTGATTCTTTTCTCAAGGTCAAACCTGCTAAAATACACTCTTTACTTCTACTGTGAAGTTATAAAACTTCAGCTTCCAACAGTTAGATTTGCCTTTTCTGGCAGTAAAAGTATTTGTAATTGTCTTTCCATGTAGACATTGATGGGCAGTGACGGAGGCGTGTCCTACCCTTTTGTTACTAAGAAAAAAACCATTTTGTTTCTCAGTAATATTTCTGAGAAGTTCTAAACAGCATACTTCAAGTACTTGGAATATTTTTTTGTTCTAGTGTTTCCTGTACTCTTTCTAGTAGTGGTTTAATCTTGAATCTGATTAATTGAAATATCCTGAATTACTTTTGGAGTCTTTATTCAATCAATGAAGTAGAATACAGGATGAGACAACCCTTTCACCTCAATCAATGTTGCATTTAAATATAATGGACTTGTCTAGAAACTTTTTTTGGCATTCCTTTGGTGCAACAGAGAGAGCTCATCATGCCAGCCTTCGAACTCTTAGCAAAATCAACATCTTCATGTTTTCTCTCTTATTTGGCTTTTATTCTGGAGCAGATTTAAAATAAAACAACAGAAAACAAACAAAACATGCAAGGCTGCTTTGTTAAGCATCAAAACATTCATTAAAATTTCTTTTCACAATTACTGGAAAGCAGTGTACCCACAGAACTGCAAATCTAGTTTAAGTATATTTTTGACAGCATAGACTTACTCGTGTGCATACTCACTCTGAACTGTCTTCCCAGCCCTATAGGAGGACCGCTCTATATTGCTGTCCCTGTCTCCACCACCGAGTTCTCTTCTAGCACCAGGAAAATATTAAGCTGTCTCCCTGCTCCAAAAAGCAGAGGAAGAACCTTGCAGAGGCTAGCAAACATCTCCTGTCTGACACCTCCACAGCACGTGAGGTCGATGGATATTTCCAGAGTGGGCAAGGAAAAAGATTGTATCAAGGTTGTGATTCTATTAGACCAAGCAGATATGGATCAGAATAATAAGATGACAGTGTCAGCTGTTTGGGACTGGTGGAGTAGGAAATAACACTTCTTACAGTGTTAAAATAGAAGGTCCCCACTTTGACTTTCTGGTCATTTCAGGTATTTATTTCTGCCCTGTAATGGCTGAAAGTAGAACCATTGTGGCTTTCTAGGATGCTTGTTCTAGTATTCAAGTACCTTAAGCTGTCTATAATTTGTATTTTGATAGTAACTTACTCTAGGTGTTAAAGCTTTTTTCTTTTTTTCTGTATATTGATTCTTAAGTATTGGCTTTTTAGAAGTGCAAAGGAATGTATTTATTAATCTGACCACAATTTTAACTTGTTATATTCAGACAAGTTTATTTTAAGAATGACCATGTTAAAGTGTGGCAGAGTAATTGAACTTTGGATTAAAATGAAAAAAAAAAACATCCATGAATTAAATTACGCTGTTTTGGAGTGCGATGACGTTATTTAGACCATTTAGTATGGAGGGATCTGGAAATACTAGAAAATAGTTGAAGGTAACTTACTAACCAAGTGTTTCTATTAAATCTGTTTTTTTTCTTAGGTGTGCACAGATCCTGGACTTTTTTTTAATTGAATAACCTGTATCCTGCTGACCAAGAAACCAGATTTGAGTTCTCTTTTCTTCTTTATTATTTTTCTTCCCTCCCCCCCCCCCCCCCCCCCCGCTTCCTTCCTCATTGGAAGAGCACAGTAGTGGCTCCCTGTTCACTTCAGTAAGTATTGCTTTGAAAGTAATACATAGCTTGCCTAAAATCTTGTTAGCTTTAGCTATATTTGAGCTAGTGTATTTGCTGGAAGAGAAATAATACTGGGAAGGATTTTGATGGCATGATTTCTTCCCTGAAGGGAGTGGGAGCATCATTTTCAAAACCATGGGAAATGAGTTGGCAAGAATTGGAAAGGAGTAGATAAAATAAGATTTAGGATATGTTTAAGACACCAGTGAAGACAAGTTTACAAAAATAAACTTGCATCAGTGACTGGAGCTACATTTTTTTCTTTCTTTTCTATAAATGAATAATTATGTAGCTAGAGATCTAGATTTCTAGTTGTTTAAAACTGAATATTGTTCCAAGCTTCCATTCTGAGATGCGTTTATGAAAGCCCATGTTGAATGAAAGGTTTTTGCCAACATAGCTATGTTGACAGGACAGAGATCAATGTCACTGTTTTATCGGTTCAAGTAAAATACAGTTAGGATTGGTTGAAGATGTAGTTCTGTGATCTTATGTGCCTCTTTAGTTGGCTTGTCTTCAATTATGTGATAAATTTCTGGTTATATTAGGCATGTTAAATTCCTACTCCTAAATTCCATTTTCCTAAAAAAGCTAGAGTTTGTATTAACTGCCTTTGTATTTTGCTTAAAATAAAAAGAACTGACCTGAATGTCAGGGTTAACTTCCTTGGAATGAAATGGTAGGGCTTTTCACTAATACAGATACCAGAATAAGAACCTATTTTGTGTTACAATCAATGAACTTGCCACTCAAGTTAACCCCTTTAACTCCTTTGTTTTTACCTGTTCTTTTTTCTAGATGTCAGTTTGCTGCTAATGGGTGTAAGTAAATTAGATGTCTTGTACAGAAAGCTTCTCCTTACTAAACTTTTCATCAGAGGATGGGGAAAGCCAGAGGATCTGAAAAGGTGACTTGTTAAACAATAACAGCATAAACACTACTTTATATTAAAAGAAAAAACAACCCTTGAAGTACTAACAATTCTTACTGTCCTATATCAAAAAATAAAAAAAGGTGTTAAAGTTTGTTTTGTTCAGGAAATCATGTGTTTCCATACCAAGGGAGGAACTGTGTTTAGAAGAAGCCTTAAGGGGATTTGCTATATCTCTGTGTTTAAAGAGGCTCTTGAGAGAATGTACATGCGTCCAGTTACATTTTTCACTTATGCATATATAACATACTACAAGTGTTTTCTAAAAACAAAACTTGCTGAATTTTTGCAGAGGAGTTGTTCTATTTAACATTAAAGAGGATCTTGCTAGCTTTCTGTAACTTCTTAATAATAATGAGCTTTAAAAGTGTAAGGAAAATGTAATCATAAGTTTCTCTTGTAGCCCAAAGTAGTAAACTCATTCTTTTTAGGTGTCTTGAAAATAAGAAAAAAAAGGAAGTACCTCTTAATTTTTAAATATTTGCTGATTTTTATTAGTTGTTATTAA